ATATATATATACTAAAATAGAAATTAAAAATTAATATTGAAATAAAGTTTTATTGTAGTATTACAATCAAGCATTTGTGTAAAAGATGGCTAGTTATCTCCAATCAAAAAATTGGCAGTTGCTGTGTGTATCATTCATACTTAAAGTCATTGGCATGATGATAAAAGATTATAACTCGTAACAAGAAAACGAGGTGACTAATTACAATCTTATATTGGATAATTATTATTGAACAGTCTTAAAAGTTGCATTGAGGTCACTCGACGAATTGTTTACATTCATCTAGCTAATAAAACAAGAGCAGCAACTACAAAATAATCGTCAGAGCTGTTACTCATGTTTCATCGTCTTATGTGGACTCTTTATTTTAATTACGACTCATCGCTATCAATATGAACCGCTTCTGTAACTACCTCGGGAGGAGGAGGAGGAGGAAGAGGAAGTATGGAATTATTACCGTCCGATGATGTTGACGTTTGTGCTTCTTTGTCCGTTGGCGATTTTGAATTCTTATCATCTACTTGCGCTGGACATTCCAAATGAACGCAATGAAACACCTGTAAACACTCTAATCATTTGTCTGTTACATAAAAAACATCGAAATGAATAACCTGATTAGATAAAAACCTCATTTGCAGTATTACGAACGCCCACTATTTTTATAAAAACTACTGGACGGGGCGGGAAACGTATCGTCTGCCAAGACTTACAGGCTTCCTCACTTTTATCAGCGACTGATACCCAATTCCAGGAATTACCTGACACTTCTATGTAATACGAGTAGGAGCGATCATCACAATCCCAAAGTAATAATCTGTTGAAAATAGTTAGAGACAGTTAATTAACTACAGTTACATGATATGAGCACACATGTATGTAATCATACCGCATTGATTCTATCATGTATGGCTGGCCTAATTGTATTAGAATAGATCCCGAACCAAGTTGATGGCATGTATAACCGCTGTCCCAATCGTAATTAGATGTGTCTCCATTTAGTAAGTTATTACGTGACCTAAAATTGAAAAGTAAAGCTTGAAAAAAGATAGATATTATATATTAGATAGGATTTTATAGTAAAAATAGTAAAATTTGCCTTACCTACTCACACCTTCAATGACACACGCGCTTCGCATAGTAGTAGCAATGTTTTTGATGGGTACAATAAAGCCTTGTGAAATTTTCTCTGTATGATTTGTATAATATGCTTCAAAATCGACAAGATGAAAAACCTATCAAACAGAAACAACAAATACTTTAAAATTAATAAATCAAATAATACATAAAATTAATAAATCGAATTAATCTATGTCTGTGAATAAATACATATACACACGCGCGCGCATATATATTCAACCCCATTATGCGTAATGCTTCATCTTTCTGATTCCATTGTATGTATATATACACAAACAATGTAATATTTAATAATATAATTATATAAAATAATATAAATGTAATATTTATTAAAACATTTATAAGATCTAGAAAATCCTCACCTTATTGACTGTATTATTTGTTCCTACAATACGAATATAAAGCACTACCCTTGGTTCAAAATATAAGTACTGCCAACTGCGACAATAATAATCTTTATAATTGACAAGCATGGTCCAATCCTTTTGATTCATAGATCCCTTTAATAAAACATCACATTAAAATAGTAAGATAAAAAAGATCTGTCTATATATATTTGTTCAATATACGTAATATTTATTACATTATATTGTTGTCAAATATATGTACCTCTATATAATAAGAATAGGATCGCAAATCTAAATCCCACAATAACATCTTTATATGATTTATGATATACTGCGATCCTAATTTAATAAGAATCCCATACTCTTCCGTGTTAGATATGGTATGCCTCGTGTAACCACGCTCCATATCATAATTGTGAACATCACCATTAAGTAGGTAGCTGCGCATTTCCCCTTGTAATACTTGAGCATCAAAAGACGAATCAGCAACATTTTCGTCGATCAGCAAATGGCCACGATACGGAAGTTCCGAATCTGGTGTTTGCGTCTGTACAGCGATTGCATCCAACAGTGTGTCTGGTGATATTAATTGAGATGGTCTTACTATACTTAGAAGATCTGACAGCGGAATCAGACTCAATCTTAGTTGTGCTGTAAAAATCATTTGTGTTTAAATAGCTTCATATATTGAAAGGACAAATATGTTGCTTAATCATCGAGTCATATGAAAATTACCTAGTACTTCAGTTGAATTAACATCGGGGTTGTTATCGACCCACGATCGTACAGCTGAAAAAATTTCGATTTCCAGTGCGCAAAAGGAATCTCTGGAGATCAATTCAGTTAGAGCGGCCGAACTTAAATGTAGAAAACTCTCATGTTGTATGACTTCAGATGCATGCACATCCATGTATTCGAAGCAAACCTGATATTTAATATCACATGCTAATTAATAAATTATTATAGCTTTGAATTACATATATAAATTACAATATGCATCAGGTGGAAGTTATGGAATGAGGCTGTATATATACAATACTAACGTTAGTTAAAAATTCCATATGATATAAAAATGCAGTATCTAGAATTGAACATATATTCTTTATGCTTAATATCTCTTTAAGGTAATCAGATATAGCTGATTCTAAATCCATAAATCCATATAAATGTGCTAACGCTAGGATATCAAGAATGACCTGTAACAAAAAGAATCAAAGTAAAATAAAAAAGATAATTTTATGTTCTTAAATGATAAATTTGGTCACTTATATTAAATCAGTGCATGCACATTAAAAAGAATACACGTGGTAACATTATCTCAGTATAAAATACATAACTCAATATTACTTGGGTAAAATAGAAAGCACCCTAGTGTAATACAAGTGACTCAATTTGTTAATAGACAATTCAATAGAACGGTACCTCGTCTCGCTCATTAGTGAGAGACATGCGGCCAGTATAAATGTACTTGAGTAAGCCTTTGAAAGCGTGCAACGAAGATACAGTCAATTCTATTTCACTCTGCGTTGACTCCTTCATGCCTCCGAACAACAGAGCGCGAAAGTACTCGCTACGTGCGGCAAGAATAAGCTTATGGCAACGGAACTTTTGACCTGCCACAACTAGAGTTACGTCCGCATACTCCTCAGACAGATACAACGCCTCGATATCCTCAGAGACAAAGTGAATGTGATTTATCTCGCCAGACGACGAATTCAGATGATGATTTGAGCTCATTTTTGATAAGCACGTTTGGATTACACTCTCGTGCCAGACTTCTCGGGGTTGTCGTCAAAACAGATTCAAATTGATACACATCAGCGACTTATTGTCACTCGCGTGTGACTACGTGTGGCACTTGTAACTAACAACGAGGTTTCGTTCAACAACTCTTCATAATCCTCAGTCTTCACAGAGTTCACAGCAGCCGCGTGCGTCGATTGCATTTATATAGTTCAGCAACGATACGATTTGCGAGAATAATGTAAAAGGAGGAAAATTCGTTCGCTCTGTGTAAGGGGAGTACATATGTGTGCGCAAAAGTAACTTTGATTAACGAAATTGGCGAGAGAACAAACGTGTCACGTAAAGATCCTTAGATCTCGCAAGATCCGGTGACTTGCCGAGCGAATGCAACCACCTTATGTTACGGACACCTCTCTGTTTTATTTTTATAAGACGTGTAAAAGAAAAGAATTCCAGTAATTTTCACCGCCACTATTTCTGCTATTGTCACTATCGATCGAATTTTCCGAAACCCATACCCATATCACCTACGAGATACTAAGTATTGAAGATCGTCGACCTTGGGTAAATTTTCATATACTATCAAAGGGCTCCGAGAGGGCTCGGTATGGTAATAGAAGAATGCTGGTGATGTTAAGAACTTTATTGGCTGTACCGACGTAAAATTTGATCGATGTCGATAATACAGATTTTGCAAATATTTTCATATAAAGAAGAGTCGATAAAAGAAAAATCTTTAAAGGGCCGATTTTACAACGACGGCCGAGCTTGATCGATAAAACAGATTTTTAATTTCAAATGACAAAAAAAAAGACAAAAAATATGAATTCTAAATTTTACTGGTGTGGCCCGCGCTATAACTTCAAATTTTATATTTGGCCCATCAAAAAATTTAATTGCGTTTTCCCTGGCTTACATCATAAAGTAAGGGTGCTTTTTCATACAGTGAAGTTTTCACTGTGAATGATTTTTAGCAAATAAATAATAGTAAATGGGCAGGTTCAAGTTGACAAAACAGCTAGCTTATTTACTGAGCAAATGGATAAATATTACAATTAAAATACAGATAAGTTGCAATTGTATTATGCTAAAAGTATATTGCATTTCCATTTTCTGCTAAAAAAATTTTAGAAACTTATATAAATGAATATTAAGTAATAAGTAATCTTGTATTACGTTAATCTATAATTATTACTAAAAGTAAAAAGAAATAAACATTTAATCTCAACTATATCGCTGTAATATGCATGATATCAACTTTATATAATCAATTTTATAATTGAAAATAGCATTATGGACAAAGATAGAACAAAGTATTTCAGACATGCTGCTTGGAAACATTTTGCTTGGAAACAAATTATTTCAACACCGTAAACTATAGAAACTTCCCACAGTGTACTATGACCACACAATCGCACTATTGTATACAAATTTGGAATAGAAAATTAATGCATTTCCATTTTATGCTAAAAATTTTAGAAACTTAAACGAATATTAAATACTAAGTAATCTTGTATTACGTTAATCTATAATTATTACTCAAAGTAAAAAGAAATAAACATGTAAAATTATATTATCAAACTTAACAATCTTTTACAATATTAGCTAACATTTTATTTAAACTTCTTATTATAATTGTTTTCATACATTGAAATTATAATAAAATGCACACCTAACCAGACAACGATGGCGAAAGATTAACTTCTAAAGGATTGTGTTTCTTCTTGATAGTTGAGGAATCTACATTTTCTAGTAGCCTTTCTTGACGTTGCTGTGTGATAGGTTTTGTTGCTGGTGTATAACGATCAGATATCCATCCTTCTACATTATATCCAACAAATCCAATTATACCCACAATAGGAAGAGTAATGTATTTACCGAACCTGCCCATAGATCTCACTATCAAGGGCCACATTTTCTTAAGTAAGAACTGAAATGGAAATAAAATCATTCCAGTTATTTTTTAAAAACTATAATCAACACAAAATTTACAAGATTATATACACGTATTATATTATGGATATACATGCATACAATACATATCTGATTAATATAATATATATCATATAATGTAATTTTATATAATCGTCATCTAAAATAGATTATAAAAATTCATAAAACGATATTTGTATTTTAAACAAGGAAGTGCAATTATTAAATTCAAATACAAAAACAAATCTCTAATTCTTTAAATTTCCAACCGCGAATACACTTACACAATTATTTTGTGCAGGTTAAGCGACTTTTTTTTCCTTAAGATAGTTCTTCACGGACTCCCTAGTCAACTGAATGCTGAGAATAAAAATTGCGAAATTCTCAATCGAATTGTATATATGGCGTTCAGTAAATATATTTATAAATTTTAAGGTCTTTGTTGTGTGATAATATTTGCATTAAAATAATAAAGTTTTAATAATATTAATATTGTTTATACGTAGCGATGAACCACGTAGTGACATGAAAGAGGTTATGAAATGTACATTTTTGCTGTTTCTACAATAAATATCTCGAAAATTTGTTCGGCTACCTCCACTTTTATTTTGACCGTTAAAAAGTACGAATCTTTAACTTTCATCTATTACTTTTTCATTATCAACTGCAGTTTTTTACTATACTAATTTGTAAATAATAGTGCTCGGAACTGTACGATACCCTATGTCTCCGTGTATAAGAAGCCAATTTCAACTAATTTTTTCTCAAAAATGAGTTCGGCAATCGGGGTTTAAAAAAATTGTAGCATATAGTTCGAGATCCAGAGAACCTCATATATTTTTCTTATTTTTTTCTACAGTAATTCATTTTTGTGAAGAACTACCTTAATAATATGATAATGTGATTGGACAGTCTCATCAGAAAAAAAATCCATAGAGATAGTAATATCAGAGAGAAACCTGCAGGTGCCTTTTCACGAGCTGCTGAAACTGGCCGTTCCAGCGATAAAAAAGGTCACGTGATAAAAATTGACGAATAGCAAGCGTCAAATGCTGGATTCACACTGGGGTGCGTTCAGAAATTACACTCAGATAACTCTTGGGTGCATTTTTGATATAATATACGTAACGTAAACTATAGCCTAGAATTACCTAGGCGTAATTTCTGAACGCAGCCCTGCATTCGATTTTCGTCGTACGACGAATCTGCAACCAATCAGAAAACAGGATTTGCTCGCATTGATGATACGATTTTTCTGATTGGTTGCAGAGTCGTCGTACGACGAAAATCGGATGCAGTGTGAATCCAGCAATATTCGCTTGCTATTCGTCAATTTTTGTCACGTGACCTTTTTTGTCGCTGGAACGGCCAGTTTCAACAGTTCGTGAAAAGGCACCTTGAGAGGTGGGTACATGTATATCCTGGCCTTTTTCATGTATGTACCAAATCTCATAGGGTAATGTCTACGTTTTTGTGGTTCTTCTCCATACTATTACATAGATTAAACCTTAAAACAAAAATAAATAATCAACTTTGGCCGGTATTCATAGGCCGGTATTCATAGTCAGTTCTTATTTGAAGACTGTCTTAAGTATGTCTTAAGACGCGAATGCAGCCATTTGATTGGTTCGTGACATCTTAAGACTGAACTTAAGACGGTCTTGAATATAAGAACTGACTATGAATACCGGCCATAGTCAATTATATTCAAGATCGTTTTTAAGTACAGTCTTAAAATGTCACGAACCAATCAAAGGCCGGTATTCGCGTCTTAAAATATACTTAAGACAGTTTTCAAATAAGAACTGACCATGAATACCGGCCTTTGATGGTTCATCCTTGTCTAATCCACGTAAGGACCATAGATATGATCTGTGCTCTACCAAGAGTTAAGATTGATTAGTATATGTTTCATGTTGTTGATATATACGATTATTAACAATTAAGTAATAATGTCTGCAACGAATAACAAAGACGATCCGTATGCACACGTTGCGAAGGGTACCCTCAAATTGAAGAACGAGCAGATAATAAGCAAAAAGTAAATACTTTACTCATTTATTATTCTGGCTTGAATGAGGTTAAGTTTGTTATGGATTGTTCATTTTTGTGTTTGTGTCGCGTGATTTTTTAATAAATAAATACTCTCCTTTTTCTTCTATTAGAATAAATTAACTAAACAGCTAATGTGTACCGTTTGCTTTATAGAAAAAAGGATAAGAAGGGAAAAAAGAAGAAGCTAGTAGAAGTATCAAAGGTCATTGAGGAGGAAAAACCTCAAAAGGTAGAAGTGAAACGGACAAAAGCAGAGCTGGCTTTTCAAAAAATGCAAGAGAAAATGGTAAGCGCACATGTAGTCTACTTAAATACATTTATATAATGACATTAAATATAAAAAATGTTAACACTAATAAAATTCATAATGTTGCATTAAATTGCAGCAAACTGAAAGGATTAAGCAGAAAGCCTCCAAGACACATAAACAACGAGTGGAGGAATTTAATCGACACCTGGATAGCTTAACTGAACACTTTGATATACCTAAAGTGAGCTGGACAAAATAAATGCAATGTTACTTAAGAAATTTATATTTGTATTGTATATATAATATAAACAATAGTTTCAGTTTTAGTTAAAAATATAAATACTTATAAATAATTATATATAATGACATTTTAATCTTCAAATATTTTCAAATAGGTTTTTTTATATTGTATAATCTTTTTTGCGTAAAGGAATGAAAGAGATTAACTTAAATATAAATTCTAATAATAAATGTTTAAGTTTTAAGAAATAGTATGAACAAAGAAAGAAATCTAGTGTATATCTACCTGATTTATAAAAATTGTACAAAATATATCCTTAGAATTTTATTCTATAACTATTTTTTTAATAACTGTAACAATATCGTTTTACTATCTAAAGTTACAAAATAGGATCCTTGATATCGTATATTTATTAAGAATCCATTACTATAGTTTATTTCTAAATATAATTAAGAGATAAGAATATATTTATTGTTAGTTTCTATACTTAATTTGAAGATATATTGTCCTATGAGACAATAAAAACGAATATAATAAAATGAATGTGATAAATGTTTAAATCTTATTAATTTAAAAAAGAAAAAACCATTAAATGTTGTGCCCTTTACATTTATTGCAAACCAAGTATGTATTATTAGGTGTACAAATTAGTTTGGTCCATTTTTTGTGTTTAAAAATGTATTTATTTCAAAATAAAATGAATGAACAGATTAATTAAATAATAAAGATTAATTAAAGTATTGTCCATCGTTGGCTACTACTTTTTCCCATCTCTTAGGCAATTTTCAAATTCCATCTCGAAAAAAACATTTCCCTGATTTACTGACAAAATTTTGAGATTTTTCCCTGATCTCGAATGGTTCATACTTTGCAATGTTTCTTGTTATTTCCAGCAATTGTACATAGATGTACATTTTGCTAGGCACATATATGCAAGGCAAACAATGTACAGGTGCAGATATTCCAATTTCCCTGACAAGTATGCTAAATCCCTGACTTTTCCTGACTTCCCTGATGCATTTTTAAATTCCCTGTCATTTCCCTGCCTTCCGTGACTTGTGGCAACTTTGATTATTCTATTGATAATAATAACTACCGTAAAATTCTACACTACCTATATATATCTATAATAATATAATGTCTATCTTGAGTATTTGTTTAGGTATCGTAATCTTGTGACTTTTGCTTCTGATCTCCTAATCTTGTCACTTAAGCCGATATAACGTTTTACTTCCAAGAAAGAAAAGACGACACTAACGAAATATCGCCGGTATACTCTCCGACGAAACAGTTATCAATCATATTTGTAAGGAAGGCGGGAGAAATCTGTCTTCTTACATCTTACATGATCGACGGTTTTCTGAAGGACCTGGCGTTTGCTAGAGCTCATATTCGTAATGGAAATCAGCACGGCAAGCTCATCGACATACAAGTTCTCTTGGATCCGATGGATTCGTCGTTTTTTTTTCGTTAATATATGAATCTCAGCGATTTTCAATTCAACAGAAAAATGTTGTTATGCTCATTATGTGCCGAATGTTTCCGAATCTAACCGAAGTTATCCGACTTCGTCCGATATTTCCCCTGTCGGTTATCACATCCCCCCTTGTCTATAGTAGCAGCAGCAGCTTACTTTACGCTCGGTCTATGGTTTTTTGTTTATGGAATCCGGTGACGGCCATGTTGGAATTGTGACGTCTTCGTAGACGCATGCTCCGTTGTCCATTCGGGCTACGCCATTTTCACGGGCATTTCATCATCCTTTTCGATGTATTATTACATTTACATGTCGCATCAGATACTGGCCGTATCGCGGACGCTCCAAGCGTTCGCCTGCAGGAGCCATTAAACAAAGAACAATCTTTAATTGTGGTGTAGAAATGTAGGAGATAGATCCAGATAGATCGATGGGAACAATCGCTATTAATGTTTGTTGAACAGAGTTAATAATCAGTAGAGAGGAATTAATTGTTGAGAATCAGATATTTAGTGGGCAGAAGAACAAGAAGATTGTGTTGAAGCGTTTTGCTGTGACACGGTGAGTTCTATTTTTTTCCATATTCCAGGCTACGTATTATAGAATTATTCAGAATGAATTTTAACCGGAATTATTCTATTATTTCTTAGACTTCTATTGTGTTTTCTAGGAAAAACGAAATAATTCTGGGTATCAATCATATATCTTTTCTCGAGCAGATATGTAAAAAGCGAAATTTTTTATGTATGTGTATATGAACACATATGCATACAAAAAAATTTTAATTTCATTGTAGATTGTGACAAGACTCAATATGTATTTTAACAACTAATATAAAGAGAGAAGGGCCATGAGCCAATAAATTCGTTAAATTCTTTTAATTTCATGTTTCCGCCTCAGGGAAAAAATTACATGATCGATACCCTGATCGAAATGTCGGAATCCATTCTGACTTATTCCATAAGACACAACTCTAGATCCACAACCTTGTTTTAAGAGGCTGTGAATTATAAGTTGTAAATAATATATCCAGAGAACTTATACTTTTAGGCCACAAGAATTGGGTTTTGCTCATTTCACTTAAGTCTAACGATTAAAGACTAAAACCTAAGCAAAAACAGTTTAAAGATAGAAATTATTAACTTTTAACTTCTTTCGGCTTATAGTTTAAGATCTTAAAGCAAGATTGTGGACTCAGATTGATAGATGGTTGGGACTAAGTTTTTTGTGCAGTTTACTTCCTATCTTTTTCTCTCCAGTATGAAAAAAAATAAACTGTATAAGTTCGCAGGCTTAGGATATGGAAAAAAAACAGACCTTGTTTTTCATTCTTATATTCTAGAGTTTTTTTCTCGCTTTTACTGAATATGTTGTTTTAAATTCCAAAAATGTATACTAATTTAAACCAAAAAGACCTATGTGAAAATGAACAGAATGTATTCTGGGAGCGTCAATTGCTCTATTGCATCTTGCTATTTTTGTTTTACATTTATTTAACAATAAAGATGGAACAAAAGTTATGCTGACAAAGTTTCTCTCGAAAAGCCCAACAATAACTATAATATACAAGTAATTGCAATAAAGCATTGTAAGGAATTTGCCTGATTTATAATGATTAGCGAATTAAATTTACTCGAGTTCCTGTTTAGACAAACTCTTGTACAAGCTGCAATATATGATGATTTACTGATTAAGAGTACAAAATTGTGTGTGGGGATATTGTTTGCATTTAATTATTTAGTTGATTATTTAACTTTCTATCAACAATATGGAACTTTCAAATTAAATTTTTGTGATCACTGAGTCTGATAGATAAATTTAAATCAGTAGAAAATAAGTAAGATAAAATGTGACTTTTATTATAGTTAAACTCATTAAAGCTTTTATAAGTATGTAGGGATTTTTCAGATTTTTATATAGTCAAGAATAATATAAAAATTTGTATTAAAATTCGATAATATTGTATTTACCTTATTTCTCATACATATTGTAATTTTGTTTGACAATATAAAACTTGACCTTGTTATTAACATTGTAATAAAAACAATAATGAATGTTCTGGTTTGACTTTGAAATGTTCATAAAGTTCGGTTCATTTTCTGATCTATATTGAATGTTTTAATTTTCATAGAAAACTTGCTATTGAAATAAACAATTTTATGACCAATATACAAATCTAAATCTGAAAATTAAATATTTTGAGGATTCTGCCTTTTTACCTTCAAAATTGTCAATAAACTTTTTTTCAAATACTTTATTTTATGATTTTTCTACAATCTCATATATTTAGCAATAACTAAATTTACTAATGATAAGATAATGATGAAAAAAAAAAAATGGTTTTTTTTAAAATTGATATAATTTATAAAATTAGATTCTGAAAATGGCAGACGCAGACATCATAGTTTCTTGTCCCTATAATCCTTCGCATCGTATTCGCAAGTATAAACTTATGAATCATATATCAAAATGCAAGAAAACTAGTAATACAGAAAACAAGGTAGAGTGTCCGTTGGACAAGAGTCACATTGTGGATTCTGATCTTCTCAGGGTATGTATATTCATTGTAATATATTTCAAAGTCTTATATCTTGAAAAATCTTCCTGTTATTAATATCGATTTTTATTCAATATTATAGGCACATATTGAAATGTGTTCTAGTATTGGAAGAGCGGCAGATATGGATATTGGAAATATACAGTTAAGAGATCCAGATCCTCCTGTAGCATCTAACTTCTATTCAGTCGAAAATTGGGACGATGTATGAAACAGTTGACTAGTATAAATCGATACTTATTTATTAGGTGTACAAAAAAGTTCTGAGCTTTAGATTTCATACAACCGAAATAACAATTTAAATTTTATGTATCTTCCCGCCCTTTTGCGGTTTTAAAGCATTAACATTTGGCCTTCTAAAATGTCATACGGTTTGGCGGTTGATGCACATAACCTCAAAAATCAGTAGTGTTCACGATGGCAATAACAAAAGAGCATATTCGATTTTCCATCCACTTCGCGTTTCATCAGAAGAAAAATGCTGCTGAAGCCACTGCAATGATTTGTGCTGCATATGGAGAGAACGCTGTAAGTCATGCTACATGTAAAAGATGGTATCAAAAGTTTCACCAAGGAGATTTCAGTCTTAAAGATGAATCTCGTGCTGGACGCCCTGAAAAGATTGAAACGGACGAATTGCAAGCACTGCTGGATATAAACTCTGCATAAACTGAAAAGGAGCTTGCAGAACAGCTTGGCGTTACATAGCAAGCCATTTCCGTATGATTACATACGAATAAAAATTGAATTTTACAAAAAAAAGCTCAGAACTTTTTTGTACACCTAGTACATCTGTACATTGCATAACTCGTATGTTTTACTTGACAGGACCCAGAAGTTCCACATTACAATGCAATGGAAGTTTCTGCGAATAAGCCAGTGATTCGATGTGTGTCTGGATTAACAAAATCAGAGAAAAGGAAATTTAAGGAGAACGAACGAATGCGTTTAGCAAATCTCAAAGGGGTTTATACTGCGAGAGCAGTCTCAGAGTCTACGAAAGACACGGTGAGATATATTTTATGTAAATTTAATATAACAATCACTTTTGAATACATATTTAAGACCCGGTTGCACCAACACTTCTTGATTTTAAGCGAGACTTAAAACTTTTATCTATCTCGTTTTAAAGCCGAAAGGGAGACAGAGACAGTTTAAGTTTCGCTTAAAATCGAAATCACGTTGGTGCAATCAGGCCTAACTGTCCTAAATTGTACATATTTAATTGTACATAAACTATAGTTTTGAAAGCTATATTTAAGTTTTGAAATGTTTTTCGTTTAAAGTGCAGATTATAAGTGAATCTCCTTATGGCGATTGGTAAAGGAAACTCGAATTTTTTATGCCAACAATTTATAGAACTCATAGTACCACTATAGATTGTACAACCATCAAAAAAATTTTTGTTTCTAGTCCAAATAACCATTTCTGTAGATGAGGATTAAATAAATAATATAGTGATTATGCTATATAGATATAATTATATTTAATATATATATATATATCTTTTTTGTTGTAATTTCAGGCTCGTGATGTACTATTACGTCCATTACGTCCTCCTCGTAACGCTGTTTTGGCATCACAAGCTACTAAATCGTCACAAGCTACTGAAGCGTCACAAGCTACTGAAGCGTCACAAGCTACTGCAACGTCGTCTATAAAAATTTTACAAAATGACTTTGATGAACTAAAAATACATGAAGATGAAAATTGTGATAGCGATGATGATAATGATGTTGGTGCTCAATCTAACTTTGATCCTAAATTTCATAATAGTTCATTCCACAGAATGTTATATGATGAATTAGCTCCTGAAGATGACGAAATTAAGCAATTAGAACAGTCTCTACGTAGCATTGACGCGGTAATATATTATGTTTATACATGCGCGCGCGCGCGCGCACACACGCATGCACATACACACGATTAAACTTGACTATAAATAAGTTTATTCTGTTTCAATATTTTTAATTTTCAGCCAATTTCCTTAAAAGATTATTTCCAACAAGTTACTAGAGAAAATGGAAGTTCCTCAATTTCTGAAAGTCAAGATAACACAAAAACTAAAATGGGTGCAACTTCAAAATTATTCAATGTTGATAACATGAAGAAAGAAAAAGTCTCAAAGGACGAATCTGTTGTAAACATTTCGAATATGTCTAATGAACAAGTTAACGATACATTTCTAACTTTAGTGAAAGATGATTCAAGTAGCAAACAGCAGCCTGTGGATAACACTGTGAAGATTGATCAAATCAATAAAGATTTTGGTGTAAAAGGGCCAGTATTGGATGAGATCTTTAATCAAATCACTGAACGAGTAACTTATTTACAAGATATTCAGAATACTGCTGCTGAGGAGAGTGCACGATTGAGTGAACAACTGAAACAACTGGAAGTACTTCGTGATCAGATGACTTTGAGAAAGTAATTATTTCTCACGATTGGTAACAATCATGTATCATTTGGAGCGATTCAATAATCGTTTTTTTTTTTTTTTAAATCATTACATTTTTCATATAATTTTTTTTATTAGGTACTAAGCACACTACTATAGTATAATTGCCAAAAGATAATACTGTGAACTTTTAATTGTTAACAAATAAGATTTTCTTATGTATACATATAAATAATGTATGCACAAATAAGAAAGGTTTATTTACGCTGCAAAAATGGGCTTAAATCAGAATATTCAGCAACAGATACGAGAAAATAGTTGTTCTAAATGATAAAATAAGACAATTTTGTGGTAAAATTCTATGAATTTTAATTATAAATATATATTTAGTTATGTATGTTTATCAGGTATTTCAAACACGCATAATGGCAAAACATCGAAATAAAATTTTGATGAACGTTTCTTTCAATTATAAGTGTCTGTTCATGTGTACTTTAAGTAATTGCGTGAACATTTAAACATTTATAATTAAACAAAATAGAACAATTGAAGAGTCAGTTATATAATAAAGAAAGTTTATATTATGTAACTATATTATATAAACGTTCTTTATTATGTAACTAGCTCTTAGCCCTTTAATTGTTCTATTTTGTTCTATACTTACAAAGCCTTATTATTTATAATTAAATCAAGTTTTAAAATTGCAGTATTGTTCCTAATTTCAATCTTATCATTTAAAATGTATTCTTTAAATTTTTTTTCTTAACCGGGACCAAAACATCTATATAATAAAAAAATGTTTAATAGTCATATAAAAAGATATTCATGTAAATCTGTATACCTGTAATATATATCGATATGTATAATACAAGTTGTTGAGCTCCAAAGTTGCTTCTCTCTGTAGATCTTAGATGTTTGTAAGATTAGATGATGATAAAGGAAGTCGTATATTTAATTCGACTACTGCACCATTACTGATATATAAGTATATTATATAATTATACAAATACCTCATACATATTTTTTTTTTGGATCTCTGAGTAATCTGGATATTTGTTAAACTATGTAGTAATCTAAGCATATATCTATTTTTTATTCATGTATTGAGCCTAATAAAAAAAAATAAAATTAATGTTACATATAATGAAGAATATTATATATGTGTAAAAGTATTTAAACCATCCTTTTTGTGTCTTAAAGTCTTTACCAACTCTAAAAGAAATTATAATTAAAAGACGTAAAAAAAAACGGATGAAGTGAAGGAAATTACACAAAATTGTACGTTCAAAAAAAAAAAACGTTCGTATTACTGCGGTATTTATATTGATTTTAAAATTAGCGATGTTTGTCGATTTTGTATGGCGACTTTCGAGTAATCGAGAACTATCGAAATACCGAGCAACCTGCCAATCATTCTTCGAGTTGAAGTGTCAGATTGTCGTGGATTGTCGGATATTGTTGGACTCGTGAGCGGCAGTTTCTTGATACGACTAGTAGACGTTTTAATAACATAAATCTACTTTTAAAATGGTAAGTTGGCAAATTTCATTGCAGCTCAATATCACATTTATTCAGTTATAAAGTCAGTTCTTCGAAATACTTTTACTGTTGTTGCTTATAGGTTATGCTGGAAATGCATTGTCATCAAGACTCTCTAGCATTTATCATAATTTTAAAATATGAACAGATCATAAATTTAATTATTGCTAATATGACACATATTTAATGCCTAAGATGTTAAAATTACATCAATATATCTGACTCAAAATTCTGATATTCTTAGCAAAATATAAAAAAAATCAACACATTAAAGACTATGTTCTATTTAAATGAAACTTTTGATGAATATAGTGGTTTTATTTTATTCATATTTATGATTTTGATTTTATTTAGGATAATATAAAAAATAAAACTAATAGAAATTTGGTGGAAGTTTTAAGATTTTAAATTGTTAATTACAATTAACTGAATATTTTTCAGCTACACGCTATTATATATTTTACAGGCACGTAGATATGATACACGTACCACAATCTTCTCGCCAGAAGGAAGACTGTACCAAGTCGAATATGCTATGGAGGCTATAAGCCATGCTGGCACTTGTTTGGGTATATTAGCAAATGATGGTATTCTGTTGGCAGCTGAGAAACGTAATACCAATAAATTATTGGACGAGGTATTTTTCTCCGAAAAAATCTACAAGTTGAATGATGACATAGTTTGTTCAGTGGCTGGTATAACTTCAGACGCAAATGTCCTGACAAATGAGTTGCGCCTTATTGCGCAGAGATACCTTCTTCAGTATGGCGAAGCTATACCTTGCGAGCAGCTTGTCTCATGGTTATGTGATGTTAAACAGGCGTACACTCAATATGGTGGAAAGAGACCCTTTGGTGTATCTATCTTGTACATGGGATGGGACAAATACTATGGTTATCAGTTGTATCAGTCAGATCCTAGTGGAAACTATGGTGGCTGGAAGGCGACATGTATCGGGAATAATTCAGCAGCGGCTGTATCGTCCTTGAAGCAGGAATATAAAGAGGGTGAGACAACCCTGAAAGATGCAATGGCACTCGCTATCAAAGTTCTCTCTAAAACGTTAGACATGAATAAGCTCACTGCTGAGAAGGGTAAATTTTTATTTACATATAAATTAAAGCAATTTAATATTTATTTTGATGGATATAAATTAACTTTAAAATTGATTTAATTTACTTCCTTTTTTAATTCTGAAAAAAGCTAGAAAGTAAGTTAAACAAAGTTAATCTACATTCGTATCAAAAATGGATAAGTTAATGATATTGTAAGCATGGTTATTTTTTATCGAATTCAATTGGACGCATTCAGTGAAATATAAATATTTGAAATTATAAAATATATTTTACCTAACGATACAATAAAATGTATCGATTTAACATTTCTATATTTATATTATACACATTTTTATGTAAATTTTGATATAAAAATATGTACAACAATATTTTTAATATGCATATTAATGTATCCAATAAAATTTACTATTAGATACATCCTGTGATAGTTTGTAACAATTGTAACAAAATTATTGACATACGTATACTTCTTTTACTTACAGTGGAAATGGCGATACTGACACGCGAAGATGGTAAAACCAAAACAAAAATACTACCAGCGAATGAAGTGAACGCCTTAATCGCGGAACATGACCGATTGGAAGCACTAGCGGAGCAGGCAAAGAAAGAAAAGCAGAAATCATAGAAATTTATATTGAATAAGAAGATTAATTCATTGTGGTGACAAAGTTTATATCAGGAAGAAATTGATATATATGCAACTCAAGTGTTTATATATGTACTGTAAATTATTTCCTTGCCACAGGAGTGAATCTTTACAATTACATTATCATCTTCATTGCAAAACAATGGTTATAATAGGATTAAAAGTTTTTCCATAAATATGTGCCATACTTCTTTTCCTTGCAATTTCCCTTGTTCTCGTCTCACTAGCATAAAAGATGTGATTTTGAATAGCTATAATTACCGCGACGTTTATTTTAGATTAATTATAAATTAATAATTTTTGTTAAAATTCAGGATAGAATTTTATTCAATTTTATTTATGTTAAAGATTTTAAGACACGTTGTAGTATAGGTATATGAATAGAATCCTTTCCTGAAATATGAATTATAGATTATATTATTTTAATATAACTATATTATATTATACAAAGCACTATTTGATTTTTTAATTAGTATACAACGAATTGAAAATATTTGAAGACTCAGCACTTACATATTAAAAGATATGTTGAGATATAGGCAAGTAAATTAATTTATGAATAGAATCCTATCCTAACATGTAAAAAAATTATTGATTATTTAAGTTAGATTTAATTTTTAATAATATTTTCTATTATTTTAATACAAATGTATAAACATCTATACAGTATACTAGTTAATTTTTTAATTAATGTATAACATATTAAAATACATTAATTCAGTATACATAAGAATTGATGTTGCTCCTCTCTCTCCTTAGAATATTAAAAGTCTGTTTTCTGTGGCTAAACTAGTATACACGTACATTTTGGAATTAAAAATGAGATAGGCATACGTTTGAAACTTGGCGAAAGCAAGAGAAAAAGAGTTCTAGTACAATCTAGTACATAAATAAAAAAACAGACTTTTAACTCTTTTACAAATTTTTTAAATAAAACATTGCAATAATAAATCAATGATTCCCAAAACCTAAAAATAAACAATATTCATACTTAAGAAAAGAAACATCAATTCAAACTTGGCCTTTGAATTCTCCGTTAACATGAATGTTGTACACAGTTCTGTATTAAAAAAAATATACCAAAAGTATATTTAAAAAATCAGATTTTTGACGGAAATGCATAAGGAGGCTTTAGAGATTGATGGAAAATAAAAAAAAAAAGGGCAAAAGTTATGTGTTGGATCATATCAACCAGGCTGTCAATGCGGTCCCACTCCCGGGCGCGATCCCACTACTGCCCGCCACGGAGACTTTTGGCTGCTTGGTTGCCCCCTCTGGCCCGGTTCGCCTCTCCTTAGCTAACCTGGCCACCCCGGACTTCTCCAGGGTGTCCATATTGATGGCGAGCTTAGTGCGGACGCCCAGTCAACGTGAACCCCGCACCAACAGTTACCCCCGACCTCAGACCCTCCAACATAACCAGCCTCCGAGTAGCCGGATTACAGGAGCCGCCACACTCCCAGCTGAAAGAATGATTACGAATTGTCGTTATAAGCTACCGGAGATCGATTGGTTTGACCTAAAATTCGTTTCATAAATATCGTTTTTATAGTTGCAAAAAATGTAAATTAAATATTTTTTTAGTACGAATTAAATATTTTGCAATTTTGGGCTTTAATTTCGCAGATAAATATATAAAATTATATCGTTAAATGAAAGTGGATGACCACAGCGCTATTTAGTGCGTTACCTTCGTCTGAAATCGATCGCTTGGTAACTTGATAAATTTGGTAAGATACCATTTGTCGGTAATATAATAGAATTTATCAAATTATCATACGTCAATAATCTAACATGACATGCGTCTATTTTATTATGGCGATGCTGGAATTTTAGCCCGTTAAAAACTACGTATATCAATGTGTTCGATTTCTAATTAAAATTTCTTATTTCCTATTTCTAATTCTTTATTCCTTCTATTGTGGCTGTACCTTAAGCCTATTCTACAATGACCATAAGCCATAAAAATTGACCAATCGTAATCGAATACGAGGAGAATAATCGATTACGATTGGTCAATTTTTGTGGCTTACGGTCATTGTATAAAGGCTTTATTCTGTCTTTTGTTTTCTTTCATTGGCTGTATTCTTTTAGATCATCCAATCAGAATTTTAGATCTAGAAGAATGCATCAATAACAGCGAGCGCTCATTTAACTGTTGAGTCTGTTGAATACGCCCATTGTGTACAACTCCTTAGAATACCAACGTTACCGACATACCGACTTTCTCGATCATCATGTCATTCTTTCGGCTTCGGCATTGTGGGATGTGGGCATCGGGATTTTCACGATATGCCAAGCGAGGTTAGATCGGGGCGGATGTATGTAAATCGACGCAAGTCATGTTGATTTATTTGTAAGGTGACGACGAAGGGATTCGACAGAAATATAACATGATAGAGGTACGCAATTCGTATTGTTGACGATAGTAAAAATACTTCCCCGCGGACGACGATCTTCTCGCAATGGCTATGGCCGATAATCTGCCGAAGGTTTTTGCAGCTGAGGACTTTAATCCAGAGAGATGTGAGTTATTGAGCACATATACCATGTTTGGGAATATAAAAAATTGACGATTTAAATAAAAATTATTACGCGCGATCGATCGTACTTTGCTTTCAATCTATAGTATTTGATAAGATCTTTGGATTCTATACTATACTGTTTCTCTTGTTAGTCTAATATAAATAGTTAATTTATTAATTAATTATATGAAATTGGAGAAAAATATAAAATTATTTAAAATATTGAGATATATATGAAAATATATTTTAAAAAAAATCATGGTATAAATCATATTTTATTAATTTCTGATCTAGATAAGATATTCAGGGTCTATACTGTATTATTTCTCTTTCTTTTGTTAGTTTGATAAATAGTTAATTAATCATGTATAGAATTGAAGATAAATATAAAAATATATTAAATATTAATATAGGATTATATTTTATCTCAATTTTTGATACTTAATGAAATTTTTAGAATCTACTATTTTTTTTTATCTTTAGTCTGACAAATAGTAATTTATTATTTAATTATGTATAACATTAAAATAAGAAAATACATAAAGAACATCAAATAAGACTAATATATATCTGTTATAACTTTTTTTTCTTATAGTTGTGAAGGAGCTGAGTGCACAATGTATTGGTGCAGACGAATTGAGGCAGCAGCGTGCAAAAATACAAGAACTGGCAAACAATACATCTGCTCAATTGAAACGGAATGTCTATCAAAATTATATGCAGTTTATCGAGACTGCCAAAGAGATCTCACATTTGGAGAGCGAGATGTATCAATTGTCTCAGCTTCTGAGCGAACAGCGTGCTTTGTTGAGTACTCTAGGCTCTACCAGAACAACTGGCGTTGTTTTTGAGGATTTGTCTGAGTCACAGCAGGAGAACTCTGCTGACTCTATATCCAAGGAAGAGGAACAAAAGCAGAAACTCATTCAACTAATTGAAAATGTGGAAGGCGCCTTGGTTGGTATTTAATAAGTAAAATTTATCTTTTCTTTTTTTCTTTGTATTGAAAAAAGAGAAAAGATAAACGATACAAAAAGATGAGCTAAAAAGAACATGCTTGTAAGCCTTTTTATATGAATATCAACAAAATATTTATGTTTCTACTTCTTTTCCTTTCTCTCTTTTTATAGAGTCTAGCCGAGACTCCAGGACGTGTGTGTTTACATGAAGGTTCCCTGCTCGAGTTAGATCCAATCGAGGGTACACCGTTAAAAAGAATTCATGCATATTTATTCAATGACGTTCTAATGGTTGCGTCCTGGCTGGCAAATGGTGGTAGACGCGGCCCACCTAGGTACAAAATGCAAGCAGTTTATAATCTAGAAAGCCTGGCAATTGTCAATGTAAGGGATCACGGCACTGTGAAGCTGGCGTTCAAGTTACTGGCATTTTCCGATACGAGGGTGTTCCAGTGTGCCACAGCGACAAGTAAAGTTAGTGAGTTTGCGAACAACTATTGTAAATTATGAAGGAATATTATTTGAATATATTTATCTTGTAGAAAGAGTGGTTAGATAAATGTGAACAAGCAAAAAGAGCAAAACTGGCAGAGGAGAATTTAGTCAACGTACCGGAAAACAATAAGCATTCAAAAAAAGAGGACAAAGAGGCGCCGTCTCGTTCGATGTCTTTGGAATCGAATACATTAGGTAAAATTTGAAAGTAAAAATAATCCTGTATTTCATAAGTATTCTGCGTTATTCATATATATTCTATCTTTATTCATTTTGTGTTCGTTTCTATCAATGCAAATTAACTTCAATTTTAGATCAATTCGTTTGTTCTAATTTTAATTTAAGAATTAAAAAGAAGATGAGTTGAATTGAGATTAAAGTTAATCTATGTTGGAAGAAACAGTCATTAATCCTTTTGTTGATTTTTTTTCATTTAGGCTCTTTTACAATCGTTTAAATTGTTACTAGGAATGGAGGATGACGATGACTTGGAGTACAAAACGCCACCAGAGTGGGTGTTGGAAGTGGCCGAGGATCTAGATTCTTGTATAGCGCAACGTCACTTTAATGAAGCTTACGTTTTATTAGAGAAAGCAAAGGATTACTTGAGAGACGTTCAATCGACTCCGCTATTAATGGAGATTCAAACGAAAGTGAACGAGAGAGGCTGCTCGCTGGTCAACGTATTGACTAAGGAACTGGAGTTAAGCGCAGAAGCAAGGTCGTTACAGGGCGGCGGTCTGAGAAGTGCTCGACGTGCGGTAAAACTCCTTATACAACTAAACAGAAGCGCACAAGCGTGTCAATTGTACCTGCAATTATGCAGTGCAGTACTGAGGGCGCGACTGGATAGGATCAGACAAGACGGCACAATCGTAGCCTATGTGAAGCAACATAGTGCAATCGCCTTCAGCAATATAGTAGAGATAGCGAGAGAATTTTTGAAAACCTTTCCTAAATCTACAAATTGCACTTCTGGTAATTTAGCATCAAGATCCGCAAACGTTTTACAATCGAATAATTAATTAATTTGATTTATTTGTCGTTCAAGGCTTAGTTGTATGGTGCAGTCAGGAAATAAAGTATTTAACGTTGCACTTATCTCAGCTGCTGTTTGTGCCACAAGTCACGCTAAGTACATTAGTAGAATGCATTGTTGCTGTTCGAAGTCATTGCGATCAGGTGTGTACACGTTCTAGTCTAATAAGTCCCGTATCTTTAAGAGTAATAGATATCTTTAGATGTATGGATTTTCTTCCTTTAAAGTTATATATACATATATATGTATTTAAATATGAACTCTTCTTTGCACATTATACGTACAAATTTGACCTCATAAGTACATGTAATTCAATTTTTAGTTGATTCAGCTTGGCATGGACTTCCGTTTTCAATTAGACGGTCAACTTAGATCTCCGTTAATAAAAACTATCAAAGCCGTGGGTAAAGACAGTCTCGACACGGTAAAGCGTCACATAGCAGAGGACAATTGGCGACCGACTAATTTGGAAACTAGTCAGAATCTTCAAAAGTTATTAACTGAGCTCGATGACCTCGGTATCAGTGTACCATCGTTACAAACAAACGACTGTTGGATACCATTGACGTACAATACGATAACTTTTGCCAAGCTCTACGTCAGACTGTTAGAAGACTGTCTTAGTATAGTCACACCCGAACTTATAACTACGATAGACGACGTGCTTGTGTTTGTGATGCGGGTCGAAGTTCAACATTTGATCGTCTCGCTTACAGATCCAAAATTGAAGCAAGAGGTGAATGTCATGGCTATATTATGAATAACTCTATTATAATTATGAATTAATTCTAACTTTATAAAATTTTAATTTTTTAGCGAAAATTAGTACAAAACAATGCAGCCTACGTGCGAGATGTCGTTATCGTCCGGGGCCTAGAACTGTACAAATCTGCAACGAACCTGAAATTCACGAAGCTACTTGCTTTGAAAGAACAAATTGTATTTGAGTCCTTGTCACCTACAAAGCCGAGACCAGCTCCAAGAACTTCAGTCCCCAAATACTCTACTACGGAATATCTCTAAACCAGAATAAAGAACGTTGCGCCGTTTTAAATAAATGTATAGAAGAAAATGATCACAGTAATGAACACTTACTCGTATGTGTATGCATGCACATACGAGATAATGTATTATATTGTACATAGAAAACTCGATTCTTTTTAGTAATAAATACAGGCATCATAGCGACATAGAAGTACTTCGTTGCACTTCTAACGCAGATGAACATTTAATCATAATGCCATCGTAGAACTCATTAGTATCTCGTAAAACTTAATTAACAAACAAGTAAGTATACTATCTTCACAAAGAGAACGACTATGATCCGCACATTTTATGATCAGATTGGTGAACTTGAACGCGTTATAATATCGCATGCATTGTCGTACCCTTGGACTGCTCAAAGGTATGACAATAATGTGGCATTAAATAACGCGCTCAAGTCCCCCACTCTTTGTGAATAATCTCAAGTGTTCGTTGAGTTCGTATTTAATGGGCCATAGAACACTCGCAATTGAGGATTTGCAAAAAGCCCAACTAAACAAACAAGAAGTTCTGGTTAATGTTGAAAAATAATTCCCAGACTGAGAGATACTATTGCTCGAACGGAATCTCTCCCTGAAGGCCACTGTCTGCAAGGTTAATGGGCTTCATTCAAGAAGCCAGAATCCTTTGAGCCTAAAGAAGAAGTCCCCCACTCTGATCATAAAATGTACGGATTGTGGTCATTCTCTGTGGATGCGGTATAAGGAAAATTCGACAAATCACAGACTATCGTACGGTTTCCTAACGATGCGTGTAATGTAGTAATTTGTAATAATAATGTAACATATATATGTTGAATTATGTACACATTTAATTCGATATATATGTAGATATATATGTATGTATAAGTGTAATTTATGTATGCCTATGATTATTTATAATAGCATTATTTTGTACTGTTGTCGCTGCAATTATTAGTTTCATTGTTCATTTCCAGTCTCCTTTTCTTGGCACGTATATCGGCTAGAGTTTGTTCTATACTTCTTTGATCTTTCTTGTTTTCACTGGGAACTGTAAGAATTTTAAATAACAATTTTATTATACATTACAAACAAGTCATCTAACTTTTTGGCAATAAGTTTCGTAATTTTTATAGGAAACACGAGGTCTCTTTTTTAGCTGAACTTCTTGCATCGTTCATCTTTTCTCTCTTTTTTTTAATGTGAACAAAAAAAAACTTGCAACTAGTTCGACTGAAAAAAATAGACCTATGAATATTGTTATACAATCTTAGAAATAATAAAAATGAATAACTTGTGTCTGCAGTAAAAGTTAAGTGACTTGTGAGTCTATATTTATATCTATGTTACACCCACCACATCCGTAACTACTATTGGCTTCCGTCTTCCTAGCCGCTTCCAATGCGGCCTCCTTGCCAATCAAGTGCTGATATTTATCCTTGTAATAGCTATTGGGGACAAAATTCTCCTTTCGTTTCCTAGACTTTGCGTACTCTGATTCCTCTTTGGCCTTTCTTTCTCTCTCTTCTTTCAGTCTTTTCGCAACTTCTTCGTTCCACTCTTCACCTTTGCGCAGTGTGTTCAACTGATCCTCCGAAGGTGCGTGCTCCTTCTTGAAGATCATAATGTATCGATCGACGCCTTCCTCGCCAAAGGAATATGCTAGGATATTCGCCACTTCTGCTACATCGTGACTGAAGTACAGGACAGAAAACGTTTATATTGGCTGCTTGTATCCCGTTAATAGGAAGTTTTTGCAATACCGTTTATCCTAGATACGGTGAACGCTATAGTCACGTTATCCTTTTCTCAATTAGGTGTGAAGAAAAAGATAACGTGACTTTAGCGTTCACCATATCTGGGATAAACGGTATTGTAAAAACTCCCTATTCACTGCGAGTATTAAAAATCTATAGCATATGTAATGTGATCTTCGTAAGCTCTATAATATACTAGATATACCTTCCCCATACTAAACTACAAAAAACTGTGTTCCGACAGAAAAAAGATAGCAAATAAATACTTGTCTGTAAGATTTTTTTTTTTATTTATAATAAAACATTATCCAATCAGTGAATTTCTGACAAACAGTATAGTTTTTGTAGTAGAGTGTCATTGGTTACGCTCAACAGAGAAAGCAGTTTTGCAACTATTGTAAAATTCTTTAATATGATTGGTCTTACTTTAGTCTCTCACTGTGTCTAATTATATAAACCAGTCATATTAAAGAATTTTACAACAGCTACAAACTTGCTTTCTCTGCTGTTTAGAAATTGATACATTGACACTCTTTAATAATTCTATTATATATAGAGCTTACTATGTAAGAACTATAGATTTTTAATACTTGGAAGGAATAATAAAACATAGCCATCATGTTATTAACAAAGTGCTTTACAACAAGAGACATAAATGATATAATTTAATACAGTGAATCATTGCATCTTTGTTTGCCAGTGTTTGTTAAAAAAAATAAAATGAGATTACTACTGAATTATACTATTTCTTGCCGAAAAGCAAACAAGAATGTTCTATATGAGTAAAACATTTTTAAATATATAATACACTTACATAATACTCCTGTATATCTGACCCATAACAGGAAATTTGTATTCTTTTGCATTGTCATCCTGTACGAACTTATTAATCTTGTCTTCGACCTAAGAAGGTAACATGTTAGATGAACTGATTAATAGAAAGATAGAAAAATACAACTGTAATATTAAGAATGAATGATATGATATATTTGTAAATATTGATAAATGACTATACCATTTTCTTTATATTTCAAAAGTAATATAAATAAAAAAATTATTTAAGTTATTATCATGAATGAATTAGATATAAATATTAATCTCTATACAATCATAAAAAATTAATATAATTTCATCTGTCAAATAGCATCTGAGTTTTTAAGATTTTTGAAGAGATCATAATAGTTGCTTTCCATTTACATCAAATTCATAACGTCATAACTTAGTTGAATGCACATTACTTTTTATTTTGACAAGATTTAATTGAATTTATTATTTATGTAGATTTTAGAATCTACACAAGTTCGATCGTGTGTTTTACTGAATAATCTTGTTAATTCACATTAAAAGTGAGATAATAAACTTATGTTGTTACATGATAATTTTGCCATCAAAGTAAACAAGTAGCGATATTAATTGAGTATAAAATACAAAACTTTAGACTCAAAGTATCTCTTGTATGAAAATAGGAAAGCGACTAATATTTTCTACAAGAGTGATATATTTAAGTTGTGTCATTTTTGTAAATAAAAAGAACTTGTGCGGAAAATATTTATAGAAGTTAAGATCGTTTTGGTGTGCTTTACCTTTTGCCGAAAGAGCTTCAACTTTTCTGCCTCAGCCTTTTGACACTTTTGAAATTCCTCCCGCTGTTCTGCATAATCGAAATGAGTTAGCCAATGTAATTCTCAAACCATTTTGTGTGCATTTTTTTTTCTTTTCTAAAATAAGCATTCTTAGGTTGGGAGTCAACTAACTTTTCATGAGAGCCTTTTGCTTCTCGTTCACCGACGGCGGCTTGTCCATGGATTTCAGAATGGATCCTAATAAATCCATAATTTCGACGATTTGTTCGGTTTAATGTCAAGAAAGGGAAATTGCAAAAAATCTCGTCCCACGATCGTCGGAATACTCCAAAACGCTCGCTCAGCTGAAAACTCTGTAGTTTGACAGATTATTTCAATCTGTTCTCTAACTACACTTGATTGCACTATGTTATGCTAACTGCACTTGAAACACTTGAACTGAGATAAATATATAATAACAGGGAAGTTCAGATTTCAACCCGAGTGCCATCCAGGTATTATTCTATCCTTATTGTTTACCGAATGCTAAACAAGGGTGACATGACACCCAGGAAGCACTCGGGTCCCAGCAAATGGATTGAAATCTTTGTTGAAATGGATTAAAATAAATTCAGATTTTCAGAAATACGGATTCATGTTAAAATGAATTCTTTTCAATCCTGAATACATTTTTATTCATTTATAGGAATTGTACGGAGCATCTCTGTATGCCTTTCAATCTAAAAATAATATCAGCTTTTTTAGTACATCGTGAATACTGTTCAATTCGAAATTTGAATAGGAAACGCAATTAATTTTCAATCCAATTGAATCCAAAAAAAGTTTTAAAATACTCACTCGATCGATAGACAAAATATCGAATCCATTTTAATTAATTTTCGTTTGCTGGAGTGGAAATCTTTGCAACATGTCCCAGACGAGGAAAAAAAAGAAGAAAATGGAAAATAGATATATATAAAACGAAAAAATATATGTATAAAAAGTTAGCTAAATAATATATACTATCTGCCAACTTTTTGACGAAGTTGGACTGCTTATTGAACCAAAAGATGTGACTTTCACATGTCTGGACTCCTGAAAGGGAGTGCGTTGGGAGGGAAGCGTTTTGTGGACGACGCAGGCAGAAATTTATGCCTGTTTCCACCAATACAGATTAACTTTAATCTCGGTTTAACTTACTGTTAATCTTTTTCTAATTTTTAGAATTAGAAAAAGATGAAAAGCAAATTGAACCGAGATTAAAATTAATCTTTGGTGGAAATGGGCATTCAGCTCACAAAATACGTATACGTTCACACCTTTCTTAATTAATTAATTTTATAATGAATTTTATAAAGAAGTTTCCAATCAGATATAGGGAAAATGCATTTCTAAAGTAGGAGAGATTACGTAGAAAAATAAAAAAATGTTTTATATTTCTATTCCATATAAAAAAATTAAAAAAAAATTCTCGTTTATATTTGAAATCCACTCTCGTATATTATTTATTAATTATTTTAATTACTAATTATTTAATCATATTAAATATTATTTATTTAATTATTATATAATTACTTTAATTTTACATTTACTTTAATTTTAATTATTACATATTTTCATCACATATATTATTATATTATTGCAGATAATTTATAATTTATAAAAAAGCGCAGGTAGACATGAATACATAAACGTCCTGTTAACCACGTGCAAACGGAGCAGATTTGTCCAGTAACGTAAACAGGTAAATTTGTCCAGCACTCGTTGGTGATTGGCTCGCGCCAGTTACGCGGCTGGCCGCCGCTGTGTGCCGCCGCGATAGCTCTCGCGATATATCTCTCGATGTCAGAGTACTTCCGGTCGAAGTGCGGCGGTAGCAGCAGCAGCGCCAGCAGCAGCAGCACCACCACACCACCAGCACCATCATCATCAGCAGGAACGAAGCAGACCACGGGGGACGCACGCACGTACGCACGCGGAGTAGCGATCGTACGCGCGTGTACGCGGTGTGTGTGTACGCAAAAGAGTGCGCTGAGAAGATAACTATTTTTTTAAGACCCGTCCCGAGCCCGGTAACCTCCGGTGAATTATCGGATCAAGATCGGAACGCGCAGTGGTTCGTTGCGGCGTGTGCAACTCCTCGTGTCCCGATCTCTCTTTCTCTCTCTCTCTCTCTCTCTCCCCCACACACACTCTCTTTCTCTCCCACCCTCCCTCGCGCGAGAATCGTATTATCCGTTTAGCCTAGCGGGCCGGCAGTGTGTTGTGCGCCGAAACAACTGATTAATATGGCGAACAGCATAGCACCAGACTCGTGGGAACAGCAGGCGGACACGAACGGCGACATCGTCGGTCCGCCTACGTCGCAGGACAAGTCTATCGAGAGCAAGTTCTCCACCCTGAATGTCAACGCTGCGGAATTCGTGCCTTCTTTCTGCATCAACTCGTCGCCGCAGAGCAACGTCGCCGCGACCACGACGGCCGACAGCAGCCCCTGCAATGTCGCCGCCACCGCCTCCGCCGTGTCCGCCACCTCCACCGCCGTAATGAATACCGTAACCACCACCACCACCACCACCTCCGTGCCCGTCGAGATACACCATGGTCAGTCGCTTCAGCTGATTCCCGATTTTCTCCCGCGCTCTGCCTTTACCGCACCGTCATGTTGTCACCCCACACACGCGGTCCCCGTCTTGTTGTGACTAACCCCCTTCGTCGTTACACTCTTTCTTCCCTCTTGATTTCTCCGTCTCTTTGGGATGATCGAGTGCATGGCAGAAGGTTACGCATGCTTCGCGTATCACGTCACATTTCCGTAAGGGGATCAATCCCATGGTGTTCTGGTTGTATCCGAATGTTGGTCTTTTAGGTACCATATGGTCTCATTTATACATGAGAAGATCCTCCATTCTGACCTTGTGTCAGACTATAATTGTTCTTTTTTACGTTGACGTTAATTGCTGAGTATGTTTAGTTATTATATGATTGTTGAAATTGGATATGTAAGACCTTGTGATCAAATTGTAATACGAGGAACGAGACGTAATGGGAAGGAATCGTTGTTGTGTATACTTTATCGCTACTGGGTGTTTAATTACAATTAATTATTTCTGCTTAATGATGTTTTGTTGCTTTGTATTTGAGCATAATGCCATATGTGACATGCTTTGTTTGAAAATTTGCAATCTCGTTAACGTTAAGCTTTGACATTTGCAATACAAAGAATTTGTCATCTATAATGTTTGATCTATATGTGATCTATAATGTCTGTGTCTGTTTTTAACACAATTAGTAGAATATCTTGCTAAAGTTGAAACAAATATTTTCAGATTGTACTGTGTACAACATGGGTGATAAATGTACATCAAACTGATAGCTTCCTTTTTAACCTTTGTAATAAAAAGAGATTGTGACTCAGCTTGAACTTTTATATCACATTTACAATATATTTTTTACAATTCCTTCAAAACGATTGGCAAATACTTTTTAATTTTATCTATTGATTATATATATCATAAATATTTGTCATAAAGGAAAAGGTAAAATTAATTCAGTTATCAGTATATTTTTATAATATATAAATTATACAAGAATTAATATGTAAATAACTGAGATAAAGCAGGTTCCATGTGATTGATATGTACATATCATTATCTAATCAAATTCCTTTTTAATCTGTTATCTTTATCAAGAAATCTCTCTTAGAGGTTTCTTAGACAATATTTCTTTATATTATTTTAGAAATATTCTACAAATTCTGAAGAAATATGATTTTTTTTATAGGAAATTCTACTCCTGTTGTTCTGGCAGATCCAATTGGTAGTCGAGTTGAGGAACCTCCTGCTGGGGGAGGGGCTCCACCGCCGAACGTCAATGACCAACTAAATACCAGTCCGGAACATCAACCTGCAGATTCCTGGGAAGAAGCAGCAGTTGATGGAGATCCTCTACTTACTCCAGAAAACGAAGAAGTAGGTATAAATTTAACTGGAAATGTAAAAAGTTAATTTTTTGACAGCGATATCTATTCTTACACAGTGTCCTAAATAAACAAACTACATTTACATTGACTTTTGATGGATTTTTTAAGCATTTCCTCTATCATATTTAATATTATTTTTAGGCTGATAACGATGAGGACGAAGAACTGGTTGTTAAAGTACCTAAAAAGAAACCTGTCAAAGTAGCAGAAGACACTAAAAGCAAAAAAGAACATGTTAATGTTGTTTTCATAGGGCATGTGGGTAAGTAGTAAATTTATGAAAAATATGACTGGAATATAAATGCTATAGGAGACTTCACAAAAAAAATTATCGGTAATTTCCTAATAAAATTATCATTGTTAGATATTATATCTGGTATTTTGCAGACGCTGGTAAATCAACTATTGGAGGCCAGATCATGGCGCTTACGGGGATGGTTGACAAACGTACCTTAGAGAAATACGAGCGGGAAGCGAAAGAAAGAAGTCGAGAAACATGGTACTTAAGTTGGGCGCTGGACACAAATCAAGAAGAGAGAGAAAAGGGCAAAACTGTAGAAGTAGGAAGAGCCTACTTTGAGACGGAACGGAAGCATTTTACAATATTAGACGCACCCGGCCATAAAAGCTTTGTACCGAATATGATTGGCGGCGCGGCGCAAGCCGATTTAGCGGTCCTTGTTATCTCCGCGAGGAAAGGCGAATTCGAGACGGGTTTTGACAGAGGGGGTCAAACGAGAGAACATGCTATGCTTGCTAAGACCGCGGGTGTCAAGCATTTGGTTGTATTAGTGAATAAGATGGACGATCCTACAGTTGAATGGGACGAGGGTCGATACAATGAATGCAGGTACATATTGAATGCATACAAGATTTAGAAATAGAATATACAGAGATTCTCAAAATAAACGTTTAGAAAGATTTCATTCAAAAAACTAATTGGAAATAATTTAAAAATTATTAGAGGGAAATTAAAATTATTAAGACCGATTTTATTTCTTTGAATATATTTTTATTGTGTTGTGATAATAACAAAATTGTACGTTTTTTTACTTAAACGAATTGAAAAACGTTAATATATCTTTCAGGGATAAGATACTGCCATACCTTCGTAAACTAGGATTTAATCCTGCGAAAGATCTTACGTTCATGCCAGTTTCTGGTCAGCTCGGTATTGGCTTAAAAGATCCGATACCTGAACATCTCTGTAATTGGTACAGTGGCCCACCATTCATACCTTTCATCGATTCGCTACCCTCGCTTAATCGTAAAAGCAATGGACCTTTTATAATGCCGATCGTTGATAAATATAAGGATATGGGGACAGTAGTTATGGGCAAAGTTGAAGCGGGAGAAGCTAAAAAGGGACAGTCATTGCTCGTCATGCCAAATAGGGTATGTATATATATTTTTTAAATAGAAATAGTCTTATTTTAGATCAAAGCAAATCCTAGTGATTATTTCTTTTATCATCTAGTGATATAATTTTTTCTTTTTGTTGTATAATATTTTTAATGCTTCATATTTTTTTTAATTCTTACATGGAAAGACTTTTTTTTAAATTTATTCTGGAAATATGGTAGTCATGGGACAATCTTGTATTTTGAAGAATTTTATGTAAATTTCTTTCATTCATTATTAAAACTATAATAAAATATATAATAAATTTGATTAACTTTTTTTTTTTACTGAAGTGCATGGTAAAAATCTTTAAAATATTGTATTGTATTTCAACTACTATATTTTCAGGGTAAATTTTAAGAGAAAATTCTTTTCGTAAGTAAGACATAATGTTTGTCTATGAGAATATTTTGTTTAAAATACACAGACAGCAGTAACGGTGGACCAGCTGTGGTCGGACGACGAAGAAGTAACGTCTGTCGGACCTGGGGAAAATGTTAAAATCAAGCTAAAAGGCATTGAAGAGGAAGATGTTAGTCCCGGATTTGTCTTATGCGACAGCAATAATCCTATAAAGACCGGCAAAGTCTTCGACGCGCAAGTAGTAATTCTCGAACACAAAAGCATTATTTGTGCGGGTTACAGTGCGGTCATGCACATCCATTGCGCCGCGGAGGAAGTCACGGTAAAGGCATTGATCTGTTTGGTGGACAAGAAGACGGGCGATAAAAGCAAGACGAGGCCGAGGTTTGTTAAGCAAGACCAAGTGGCTATAATGAGAATCGAGTGTGCGGGAGTTATATGTCTCGAAAGATTCAAGTTATTTCAACAAATGGGCCGTTTTACTCTTAGGGATGAAAGTGAGTGTTGATAATAAAATTCAGTGATTTTTTCCTCTCACTATCATTTTTCCTCTTGTTTGCTCCTCGATTACGATAATTTTTACGATAAATATAGATATATAATATATATATATACTTGTATAATTTCAGATAAAACTATCGCAATTGGCAAGGTGCTGAAAGTCGTCGAGTAAAAGAAGAAAAAATTTGCTTAAATGTTACGACAGATTAATAATAAAGAAAAAAAAGATCATTATTTCATTGTGACAAATATGTGACGATGCAAAGCGAGCACACGAGATATTAAACAAACCAAACGGGCATGATGAAATTCTGGCGAATTAGTAATAATGTAACATATAACACACAACTCACACACTATGTACTGCAGAGCTATACAAACAATACGTGCGTCCACGTGCTACGACGCAACGGGTAACGGGGTGGGGGGTGGGGGGAAACGGGGAGAAGGGGAAAAAATATTTATAGCCTGATACAAGAGCAAATAGATTCGATTATATAGATAAGGAGACATACACAATCGAAAAAAAAAAAAACTCAAGAGCGTGTGTTCCTTTTATTAGATAAGATGAATGACGGCACTTGCATTGGAATAATTATAAACGGATGATGATCAAATAATAATTGAGTCTCCTCGATAATAAAACAAGAAAAAACACGATATTTTTATTCTTCTGAGGTGCGATATACGGAAGTGGGAGTAAGATGATATCGATTACAGAAATTAACATTTAAGGAAATATATGATTAATATTATAATTATTATTGAATAATTATTATTAAAGTGGTGGTAAGAGTTGGAAAAAGAAATTTATTGAATAAATCAACAAAATAGTGTTACACAACAATTTATAATTATAAAATTAATATTACAATTATTATTATACTGTTTCTTATTATATTGTCATTAAAAACAAATTTGCAAAAAAGTGTGCCCTGATAATTTTAATAGGGACGTGGATGTACGTCACTGTACATCTCTACAATATGATGGATCTCCTATATATATATATATATTTTTTTTTTTTTCAAACTATGAACAATTGAAATAGATCAATTAATGGAATTTGCAAATATTCAAGGCGCACAAATGCGTCCCACGCCCTGCGCGTGTTTATCTCGTCTGGAATATTTTTTAGAATAATTTTCACTTGTGTTCTACCTCTTTCTAAACTCCTCATTAAAATTGTTCGGTAACGAATAGATTCAAGAAAGATGCACTAATTTAATGTACTTCTATAATTTTTCTCTCTTTTTTTAAGAGAATATTTTCTACATATATATATATTATGGGATATTTGCGAATACATTGGATACAGACTCCTCGCATTTGGCGCAAAAATGAAAGTTTTACTTGTTCAAATTGTTCGATGATTTTTGTACATTCCCGCTTCCTTAACTACTGGAGCGATCATTGATCGATATCGAGTACGAACAACTTCAAGGTGTGTGATGATCTTATCCTTTTTTTTTTTATTACATTGCATTTTTTCCTCTCAACAAACATGTGTTCTGTTTTATTGTCCGCGTACATACGCGAATTTTTTATATACGTCAATTTTGTTGCAAGTGCGGAAAATGCGCTAAGAAATGCAAGTGAAAAAAACCATATTTATCGATTCTCTCTCTCGCGCTCGCGCGCTCTCCCACGTTCACGCTTGTCCAGTTTCGATCACGGCAATGTTGGACACCCTGCAATCGGAGAGAGACAGATCGTCGAAGTGCCGCGTTTGAATTGTGATGTCATTGTTTTCCGGGAAATTTTGTCTACTTTTTTTTCCATTTTCTCTCATATTTTTCGCGCGCGAAGGACTCGTTGACTCGAAAGGCGATCATTGCGGATCCGGGGCTAGTTTCGCGTAGCCAAGCTTCTGGAGCACCTCCTTGATCTCGCGGAATACTGTTGGATCCTCGATCGTGCTTGGAAGCTGGAAAGTTAAGATTTCAAGTTGGCGATGGCGAGAGGAGAAACAGCGGTAAGTGTAAGGCTATTTGACATTCGGCTGATATTACATTGTAAAAGTAATATAAATGCATAAAGCAATTGAAGAATTTTACAACAGTTGTAGAATTACTTTCTCTGCTGAGCTGCCATTATTTTTGCGTTTGGCGGGATGACAAATGACCTTTACGTCGAATTTGCGACACATTTGAATTTCGAATTGATTCTATTCAGCACGTGGGAAGTGCATATATCTATGTCGTGTAATTTGTACATTCTCACCTTGACTTGCTTCGATCGCGCCAACGTAGCGATCGCTTTCCGGATTATTTTCCCCGATCGCGTTCTGGGTAGCGCTGTAATGGCGGCGGCGGTGCGAAAAGACGCGATCGGTCCCAACATCTTCCTCACCCGTCGAACTAATTCTTGATTTATCTCTTCCTCGTTGCTTATCGCGTCTGAAGAAGAATAATCCTTTTGTTACTCCTATTATAAATTCAATTCTATCGCGATTATATTTCTTGCATTGAGAAAAATGCACTGCATTTTAATAAATATTTATTTTAATAGCAAACATTTATTTACTCATAGTAAATAAATAATATTAAATATCGAAATTTATTACAGAAAAATTGTTTTAAGTATTTATCTATATATATAAACATTTAGCTAAATACAGATCTAAAAATATGAATATAATTATGTTAGATCATCTAAATAATTATATATTATGGGCCTTCTACAATAAGCCATTACTTAAGTTTTAAGTGTTAAATCATAAGAAATTTACCAATCACAATCGAATGTGAGAAGAATAATCGACTGTGAGTGGTCAATTTCTTATGACTTAATACTTAAAACTTTAGATAATGGCTTATTGTAGAAGGCCTGTTATATAAAAGAAAGAAGATTATGGAATACTATGATGTCTTGCAGCAGTGCTGGAGGCATCAAACTAACTTTTTTACAGTAATATGGCTATTGATCGTTACACTATGTTATAAAAGCTGCATTTCAGTTGCGCAGGTAGCGTATAATTTTATAAGTGTATATATTCTTTACGTAATTTCGAGAAATACGTAAAGAATATATATTGATATTAGTTTTATAATTTCAGTCCAACTCAGAATGTGACTTTCAAATGATATAATTGAACTAAAATTTAATAACAAAATGTATTTATGTATTCAAAGTTTAAAGTTATATAAAATTGATAAAAATATTAGTTAATAATATTTCATATGCTTCTTTCTATTTCATAACTTTTTTCCCTTTTTAGTTTTTTGTAAATCACATTTATTGTATATATATATATATATATTCAAAGAATTATTACTTGTATAATTGATATTACTTTATTAAAATAACTCAAATTATTCAAATAGTTAGTTATGTCACATGAATGTTTAGTTATTTCATAAATATATTTCATAATTCTCTCCTTTCTCCTACAATTAAACATAATCATAGCCCAATATAATTATTTAGGTGGTCTAACATAATTATTACTCATAGCTCGCTGTACTTGACTTGATTTTTATATACTTCAGTGAAATTATTTTGTCTATGTATTTATACAGTACGTAAAATTTGCTGAACGTTAATGTCAAAATAATAGTGCTTTTTCCGAATTTCTTCTAAATGCATTACGAACGTACCTTCTCGTCTAACGTAGAGGCACAGCGGTACTTCCCCCTTCGTATGATCGGGTACACCGACAACTGCAGCATCCACCACGTCGGCATGAGCTAAAATAATATCCTCTAACGCAGACGTAGATATTCTATGGCCTGCTACATTTATAATATCGTCGTCCCTCGCTGTGACATAAACATAGCCGAACTCGTCGATGTACCCCACGTCCATCGTGTCGTAGTAACCCTGCAAGATCGTCGAGATCTCACCTTGTGAGCGAAATAAATATCCCCTAAACTTGATTTTAACGGGATGTAATCTTGTGATAGAAATAATTAAAAAAAATCTCTGAGTTTGATTTTAACAATAAGATCCTCCGGCGAATCTGGAGTTGATCTCTTTTTTGGCAAAAGTATCTTCATCGATTTTGCTATAGTTAAAGCGGTTCCTAGATGATCAAAATTATTGCACAATATCAACTGAAAGCTGTATATTGTGAGTGTTTTTTTCATCAATTAATATTATATAAAATAATTGTGCAGTATTATTGATCGTCTAAGAGCCGCTTAAGTTTCAATGAAGAATAGAATGGGGTAAAAAAAGAGTAAACAGACAGACATACCCAAAGAACATCAAGTTAATACACCAAGTCAAAAGAAAATCAAAATGACTTAATTTTCGTCGTGAAAACCAAAATAATGATTCTTGTTAATTTGACCGCTTATTAATATTAAGAATAAGGTCATTTAAATTTTTTATTGACCTTTGTGTATTCCTTGGGGAAAGGGGAATAGACTTACGTGCGTGTACATGTATACGAAATAAATATTTGCTCCATAACATCATTCACATAATTTGCACACGATAATGTGCGTACATTTACTTACCGGAAATTTCGAGAAGTATACTTGCTTGAACCTATCGGATGCCTGATAAAGAGTCAACATGAATCCAGGTGGCAGCGGTAACTTTATCGCGATACGTCCGGGTTCGTGTTGCGGCGCTTTACTCCCGTCTTCGCGCAAGATATGTACTGTCGACGATGAATTTGTAAGTGATTTTTGCATAGGAATGACCGAATGATTTAGTGTGAAACATTTAGACAGAGAAATGATCAAACATAAAATAGAATTATAATTTAAAAAAAAACCCTCGAAAGCATTCCTGAAAATGATCGAAAAAAACTCACTTTCATATCCGGGTATAGGAAGTCCCGTACTGAATTTGGGCAAATTAGCGTAATGACCGTATCCTAAGCACAGCGCCGTGATAGGGTGTCCGGTCTCCGATTGCCACCAGTGATTCAAGATGGGTACTTTGAACGTTTTTTCTGCCCAGGCTTTCGTTTCGTAATCGCAAAACTCGCCGGCCACGAATATTGTTTTTAAGCTGAAAGAAAAGTTGATTATATAAGAAATTTATTTTCCAATAAAATATTAAAAGTGACACGTTACATTATATAATAATTTCACGCGTTCGTCAATATAAATGATTTTAAACGTGACTTGAAAGTTGTCCTCGTCAATATAAATCAATAAATGTAATATAATATCTACGAGTACATGTGTTACGTAATAGTTACATTGTTGAGTGAGAAATTATAACATTGATGCTATGTTACTTTTAATTGGTGTGTTTACTTGGTTGTCTTTCCAATTTATTTTTAAACGAATTTATTTAATTATGGTATAACGAAAAGAACATACGATTTTGCTAAAATACCAAAAAGTTTAGCTAAAAACAAATCTGAAAATAATTTTGTTAGAATCAAAATAATTATGTAGGACGTTCGCATTAGTTACTCGAATATCACAACTTTTTGCAGTATTAAGCGTCCTTCATGATCTTTATTTTAATAATCTAACAAAGTTTTCAGATTTAATTCTTAGATATTTCAACAAAATTATTCTTTCTTTCCATAATGCATACAAAACGAAGTATGTTTTAATATAAATAACGCGTTCAGATATATTATATAAAATTATTCTGAAAAAGATAGTGATTGCGATACTTTATATCTTTTTTTGTTATATATTATATTATAGTTTAAAATAATCAAATATCATGATCAGAGGATTTAATCAATTGATGAATTTAAAACTTACGAATTTAACGAATACTTTTTTCCCAAAAGCGTTTCCGGATCCGCTCGTCTTATAACTCGTAGAGCAGTAGGCACGCAGAATATTGCGTTTACGTTATGTTGCTCAATGAGTCTAGAAAAAAAGAGAAAGCTTCTTTAAAGACGAAGTAAACTATTAACTTTTTTAACTATTAACGTTGTTAACTATATCACGTTGGTGATGTGACATCTTATGAAAGCAAGATAATCCGTATAAGTAGTAATAAACGAAATAAGTCAGACACGTACTAGTATTTCATTTGCGTACAAACTGCAAAGGAATCGTTCTAGAAGATGTAGGATATTTATGGTCGGATCTTACAATTAAGACCGACTTAAGATGTCATAAAACAGAGCCATATTAACAACTTAAGACATTACTTAAAACGGCCTTAAAATAAAAACAGATTGTGAATATCGTTTTTAGATTTCTTGAAGAGAATTAAAATTATTATATAAGAAAGAAAAACAGCGTGCAATTAAAAAAGTTACGACTAATATGTATTTGTTAACTTTCTTAGGTTGTCACAAAACTGATTTTTCAGTTGGCATAAAAAATATTTATAGACTTTTTAAGCGACGATTTTTTTTTTTCAACAAAAGTTGATTAATAAAACTTTTATTTTAGAGATATTGTTTTCCTCTTATTAGAAAACGCTTCCTTATATTTCCTATAATCAAAATGATACAATAAAAAGATATTCAAACCTGAAATATTGACCAGCATCCGGTGTTCTGTCGGGTTTTCCTTCGTACATGACGCTCGTCGCGCCTTTAACGAGAGGACCATAGCAAATGTAGGAATGCCCGACAACCCATCCCATGTCGGAGGCCACCCACCAAACAGAGTTTTTGTTTATTCCATAAACTACTTGTATGGACCAGCAGAGTGACACCAAATGACTGCCGATCGGCCTTAAAATCCCCTTTGGTTGTCCTAATATCAAAAATAGTTTTCATGATTGCGTAACAGAGATATAATTTTGATGTTTCATCAAAGAAAGTTAATTTATTATAAAACTAAGAAGGCGAGAGAGATAATTCCGAGAATGAAAGAGAGTTATTTTTCTGAAGAGTAGGAAATCAAAGGGAGAAAATTATATGAGAAAAATCCCTTGCTTCATTTTCAGAAGCGTCCCTAGGTCCCTCTATAATATTAGATGTGTATGACTTACCTGTAGTTCCTGATGTATACAATATATACAGTGGATCGTTAGCTTCGACCATTACACACGGATGAGGTTTTGATCGCTTCATGATATCATCCCAGTCGATCTGTGACTCAAGTAACGGAGCCTCCCACACATTTCTTCTTTGAAATACGATGCACTTCGGCTTCGGTACAACGATCAAATCCATGGCGCCATTTAGCATAGTTGTATACCTGCACACAGAAAAAAAGATTTATTAGAACAATTAAACTTTACTGATTTAGCAATTTTACATCTGTGATATACGGACACTATGGACAATCAGTTTTTTGTATTAAAATAGTAAAATTATACAGCTAAATAAAATTAGCAATATTTGTTGTAATAGCACAGCAAAAAGCTCTAATAATATAGTAAATATAACTTTCTATGAATATCAATCCAGTGTATATTAATACAAATTTTTAACGAAGTGCTAGCTAAGATAGTGATATTTTTGTTGCTGCAATTAAAAGAATTTTGTGTTACTTTAACAATTTTCATTGTTCATAATTCAGCAGAGAATTAGCTGAATTAGCATATTGATAATTGCTTGCAGACATAATTTTTTTTGTTAAACCATCGAATCTTCTTATAAATGTTAAACTCGCTCAGAAAGCTATAACTTTTGCTGAACCATCCGCAATCTATTTTTTTCAAGTGTATTTCGAGTTAAAGAAAGAATGTAAAAAGACTGAACGAAGATCCAAAGTCTTAAATAGGAACGTTTAAAAGAGATTTGGCAGACTTGGAGGAGTCTTGGAGAAGTAAATTAATTAAAAAAGTAATTGTGTTACACTTAATGTATAAACTGAATATTAACATTATTAAATATTAATATCAATATAGATTTAACATTATTTTTAGATAATTCTCTAAAAATTTAATGTGAAAAGCTAAAAGCGCAATTTTGATAAATCTCGAAGTATTTTAAATGAAAACACATACTTAATCACTTTGGACGGTTCGAGGCCGCAACTTGCAGCGATAACGACTTTCGGCCTGGCATGATCTATTCTAAATGCCAATTCGTTTGCTGCGAAGCCTGAAATTAAATGTATATTTACAAGTATAATCGCATTGTAATCGAATTTATATAAATGTTTATAATACTAGGAATATTTTCGCTATGCGATTGCAGTCCTATATCGCTATAAAAGCGACTTGACAGTTTAAAAGACATCTGAAGGATAGGTTTATCTACTTTTCAAACAAAAAGTCTTTTAAATAATGAAATAGATAAAAAAATATGTGTATGTAAAAAAGATAACTTAAATATGCGAATTTTAATTGTAGTCAATTTTGTACTTGGTGTACATTTTATTATTGATTCTATTTTTACGTGATCTATACGAAAAACACCTCGGTTGCGATATATTTTAGAAGTCAGAGCTGCTAAAATCAGAGAAAAGTCAAAGAACTTTGCAAAATTTATTAGAAAATTAAAATTCTTGGCTTTAGCAAAGTTTGATATGCGACATTATATTTACGCAGTTTTGGAATACTACCAACTTAACAATTAAATGTAAGCAATGTTAGCAACATCTCTCAATAATTAAATTAATAATAATTTACATTATATTAAATTGCTCTCTCAACAAAATATTCAACAGTTTTCAAATGAGTTTTCAAAAATACAAAAAAAAATCAAAAATATTATTGAAAGTGTCAGGGAAAATTATGAAATTTTATCTGGAAATCAGGGGAAAGTTATGAAATTTTAGGATGAAGAATTTGTGAGAATTTAATTTACGTAGCGGGCGTGATTACCATCACCTTGTTATTACCTCCAAAGACCACCGAGTGAATTGCTCCGAGTCTGGCAGTGGCAAGAATTGCGATTATAGTCTCGGGGATCAACGGCATGTATATAATCACCCTGTCCCCTTTGCGTACTCCTAGATCCGCCAACGCGCCCGCCAGCACGGACGTCTTTTCCAAGAGCTCGTTGTACGTCACTTTGCGTATTGACGATGTTTGAGGACTATCGTGGATAAGGGCTGTTTTTTCCCCATATCCGGCATGTACGTGACGATCTACCGCGTTGTAACAAGCGTTCAGTTCACCGCCGACAAACCTGAGGGAAAAGAAGCAGCTTTCTGTAGCCGTTTCGCAGTCACGAAATATCCAATTAGAAAGATTTTATTTTATTATAACTGTTTCACAAGTGAGAGAGAGAAGCTTTCTGTAAACCTTGCATAATGCATCTATAATGTTCTACATTCAAATGCAGAGTTAGGAAGTAATACTTTACTTAATCGTAACGCCATTATTTTTGTTATCTTTTGCAGTAATAATAACGTTGTTACATTTTTATAGTAACATTAATGAATTTAGCTTGTCATTATTTATTTATTTTAGTTTCCTATTATTTTTATTTAATAAATCGCGTTATTTTTTTCACTAAAGAAATATTTTATTTAAATAATTGAAATATATTTTGTAGGATAGGCGTACCGGTTTTGGCAAATATTTTCAGGGATTTTTCGTGTCTACATATGATCAATGACAATACCAAACAGTGATTTGTCGAGGCTTCGTCTGTTTTAGCAACATTTAAAGTTAAGCAGTAGAAAGCCAAAACCGGTGAAATGCTCTTATAATTATTTTATTGACCGTTTTTTATTTTCTCAGAATTATTTCACCGTTTTTATAAGATAAGGAAAATGAAATTATATCCTTCTAATTGAAAAATATATAAGTGAAAGGTCTTTGTAGTAATAATTGTCTGAATCCGAAACATTTCAAGATGGTAAAATGTTTAAGGTGACTAAAACCGGTATTTCTACATTATTTATATTTTAGGCTGCATTCCGATAATCACTTCCATATGGTGAAAATAAAATTTTCACGATTTTCTTTTGCAAATTACATAATGTTTAAACAATAGATATACATATATACAGGGAATGGAAGTAACTCGTTACTTGTAACGAAGTTACAGTTACAAGTTACTTTTTTGGTAACTTTACTGGTAACTGTGTTACTTTCTTTTTTTGGTAACTGTAACGGTAACGAGTTACATTTTTTGGGTAACGGTAACGAAATTTACAGTTACTTTTGTCGTTACTTTGCACACGATTGAACACGGTTCGATTGGATACATGCTATTTAGCGCTTATCAATATGACTTGAAAGCCCTTAGACATTCGGCCGTTATGATTCAGTAATTATTTTACACTTCTATCTTCTATGTAATACATAGGACATACAAATATTTCAGTTTGCTGCATATTTTACAGGTTTTAGAATTACAAAATTGTGTTTAAAAAAAATTAAAAAGTAAATTAAATAATAGTAAAATGAGAAGGGTTATGAACCCAAAAGCGAAACAGTTTAAAAGACGATGACAATAAGTGTCGAAACGTCGTTTGTTTTTATCTTTGTATTGTTCTAATATATATTTATACATTTAATTACATTGTCATCGTCGTTCTTATCGGAAATAAACTGTTTCATTTTTGGCTCGTAACCCTTCTCATTTTACTTTTATTTAATTTATTATTTGAGTCATTCTACATTGTTTTTTTTTTTTTTTAAACTGTATATTTGTCAGTATTACATATAAAAAAAAATGCAAAAGTACATTTTTAAATTGATTTTAAAAAAGTAACGGAAAAGTAACGAAAAGTTATTTTTCAAGTAACGGTAACTGTAACGAGTTACTTTTAAAAAGCGATAACTGTAACTGTAACTAGTTACATTTTTTACTCGGTAACGAGTAACTGTAACTAGTTATTTTTAAAAAGTAACTTTCCGCATATATAATAGATATATTGATAAGATTAGATCATTTTACATATTTATAGTTTTCTAAGTATGTTTTATTTACATTTTTCTTTTTCTTATTTTTCTCAGAATATGATTTTAAATATTATATAAAATTAAAATGCAACATATCTGACAGAAAAAGAATAAGACTTTATTGCCACGTGTCAGTTTTAGGGCCTACTTTGTTAAGCTTATTTTTGCTTTTTGTACGAAAAAGTTCATTATTACAAAATTGCAAAATAAAAACTGCTACATTATCTAATAGAAGACATTTTCTGATTTGTACACATTTGGAAATGTCTCATATCTTTTTAATATTCAGAAATATTTCCTTTTTTAATCATTAATTTTGAATTTTGGATAGCAAAAATGAGAAAAAATTGCAAAACTTAAGTAGATCAGTTATCTTAGATAATGGAAATAAGATTTGTAAAGTTTCTTTTTCTTTTGAAAGCCCTTACAATAAAAAAATATATTATTCCTTGGTGGAATAACAAAAATTAATAATCTCGACAGAATTACGATTATGAGGTGTAATTTCTTTTAATGATTCTTTTGGGATACCATTTCGTGAATGGCTCGTTGGAATTATCCAAGACCTTATGCCATGGTTTGCTCCAGTCGAGACAGCCGGCAATCTCGCCCCAAAATTCTTCCGGAGACTCCAATGACTTCTTGTACGCATCTTCGTACGTAGGGCAATCGTTCCAATGTGGGCTCATAATATAATCTGTAAGGAAACGATAATTAAGACGACAATAACCGTTACAAAGCACACGGCCTTTAATCTTCGACAAAACTTGGCATCGTGGAAATTGCCGTTTATTACATTACGGGAAAATGTTGGAAAACTATGTTGAAGACAGTAACTTAATCAACTTTACAAGAAACAATATTCTCAGTTTGTATCAGCTCTTCATTAATACCGCATCAGATTTGTATTATTTACGAATTACTTGAACGTTTAGTCATATGTTATCACTTATAATTATCGTGAGATGACATGTGACATATTACGATATATTTGAAAACGTTCTCCTTGGCGTGATAATATCGATTCACTTCACCCAGATATTTTTTTACCCGGCATGAATAATTCATTTCAACGTGTCGCTCATACATCACGCTCTGCACGAGAAGTTCGTAGCAATTTTCTATCCGGGCCGCTCCTTTAACGGTCTCGCCCACGTATTTGTTTCCGTGTATCGTGAATTACAGAGATACGTTGTGCGACACGTTGCCTTAATACACCCCGATGTCGCGAATAAACAAGACAATCGCAAGAAGAAACACCGTGGACCTTTCCGTTGTCTCCTATCTCGTCTCACTCCGATTCTTCCTGTAAGTACGCATCGCCGCGCATCTCGTGGGACCATCACCGCGATATTTGTCCGTTACGGAGAAATGTAACGCGACGCGACTGGGGAACGGTGACTGAAAATGAAAACATCCAGGACATTAGTTCGAATCCCTTATGACGCGTAGATTACGTTTTTTCTTTTATTTATTTATTTTTTTTCTTTAAGTGAGGGTTCGAAACAAATCTTTTTTCTCGAGAAAAATAATAGAAAGATGTATCGTATGGATAATAGCGAAAATCAAAATCTCGTGGAAGTATTTAGTTAAGAAGGTACTCTTTTGCGAAACGAAATAAATGTATAAATTTCTCATTTCCTACAGTAACGTCACAACATTAAATAACAAAATTTTCTAGAAAATAAATTTGAATATTTTAAATTATTAAAATTTTGTAATATTTATAATTTTATAATTTTAGTGCAACAATGATTGTAGAGGAATGAAATGTTTTTTTAGATATTTTTTATTTATGCTTTAGTTCTTTTTCTACAAGCAACAAATAATTTTTGTAACAAATGTAGCAAAAAAATGAGCAATATTTTATTCGGTATTCGATGCAGTGTGAACTTTGATGTGTTTTTGAACAGATAGATAATTATTATACCAACAATATACAGTGGGTCAAAAAAGTATTTGCACACTCGATTTTTTTGCAATAATTTTGTTCAAAGGAATAATATATTAATACCAATTGTGCCTGTAGATAGTGTGTATTACATATGGAAATGATACATTGTTAGAGAATTCCCTATTATACGGCATAACAAAGTAATAAATAGCATAAGAAATGAAAATTTTCATGCACAAAAAGTATTTGCACACGTGTGATTGTGATGGTAAACTTATAATAATTCAGTTTCTTAATCATTCAGTCAGTTATTAATATTTTGTATGCATACCTTTGGCTTCAATAATAGCTTTTAATCTTATTGGGATGGATTCTATCAATTTCTTTGTAGTTTCTGTTGATATTTTAGACCATTCTTTTAGAACCGCTTTTTTCAAGTCATTCTTATTAGAAATTTTTCGTTTTCTTATTTGTAAGTTTAACAGATGCCACAAATTTTCAATGGGATTAACGTCTGGCGACTTTGGAGGCATAATTAGTTGTCGCGGAACATTATACAGTAACCATTCTTTCGTTTTCCTAGCGGTGTGTTTAGGATCGTTATCCTGCTGGAATTGATAAGCCTCACGTATATCCAGTTTCATTGCACTTTCTGATAAATTACTTCGCAACATCTCGATATAGTTTTCTGCATTCATTATATAATTGATAAATGCTATATTTTTAACACCATTATACGCCATGCAACCCCATATCATGACGTTTCCACCGCCGTGTTTGACAGTCGGCTGTAGATTCTTCTGTTGGAGCTCAGTATTCGGTTTCCTCCATACATATTTCCTTCCAATCAGAATCAAAAATATTAAACTTGCTTTCATCAGAGAAAATATTATAATATTTCTTCAAAACTCTATCAGCTTATTCAAATACGTTTTGACGAATTCCAACCGCTTTTGTCTATTTATGTCACTTATGTAAGGTTTCTTTCTTGCCAATCTACCGTAAAGTTGAGCCGAGTGCAAAACATTTCTGATAGTTTGAGCACACACATTCCTCCCTGACATTGAAGCAATACCTGCAAATAAACTCTGAGCACTTACGGAAGGAGTTTTCGATGCTTGTCTTATAATATCGCACCGTTCTCTAGTCGTAAGTATCTTTGGCCGTCCTGATCTCAGTACTTTAATTTCTTCATATTTTTTAACGATGTATCGCACTGTTGAGAAATGTAATCTCATCGTTTTACCGATTTGTCTATAACTTTGACCACTTTTACGTAACATAATAAATCTATCGCGCGGATGTAGATATCTCACTATTTTTACGAGCCATACTTTCTCTATAAAGTGTGAACATCGACTAACTTCGTGGATAAGCTAGAAGCAGTCTGTAAACAAACTCTCTTTACGTTATAGATCTCGGTAGTGTCTTTGAAGCGAATAATCTTACATTTACTAAGACGATCACACGTGTGCAAATACTTTTTGTGCATGAAAATTTTCAATTTTTTGCATTATTTTGTTATGCCGTATAATAGAGAATTTTCTAACATCATCTCCATACACTATCTACAGGCACATAATTAATATTAATATATTACTTCCTTTGAACAAAGTTATTGCAAAAAAATCGAGTATGCAAATACTTTTTTGACTCACTGTATTAATATAAAGAAATTTTTTATTAGTTCATAAAAAGCTAATAAAGATTAAAAGCTAGCTATTTTTGAACTATTTTAACAGAGGTTATACAAGAATATTATTAACTTTTATAGACTGCTCTAAAATTCGCGAATTAAAATATTACAACAAAAGTTCCTGAAAAAATAAGTTTTAAAAATATTTGTTATTTTTTATTTCAAGTAGTAGTTTTTGAGATACAAAGATTCAAAATGTGTATTTACTGCCATCGATGTGTGATTTATGGCAGGCTGCCGTTTAGCTATAATCTATACCTAATTAGTTTTACAAGAAACGAAGTTTCTAGCTCCGTATTAATGTATATTAAATTAACGTCGTCTTTGAATTACTTGAATATTTAGTTACATGTTATCATTTTGTTTAATTATAACGAGATAACGATATGAATGCGTTATGATATATTTTAAATTTATAATAGTCTCCTTGGCGATTTTATATATATCTCAAAAACTACTGATCCGAAACATGGTAAATACTTTTATAATTGTTTTTCAAGCGTTTCCTGGCTATAATATTTTAATTCACTTTGGTATATCCTGTATCTTCAAGCCGATACATATAGTGTACAAGAAAAAAACTGTAGTAACGGATTCGGAAGTATAAATCTGTAAATGAGCTCAAAATATTCAGTAAAAGCTATCGCTTTTATGTTATTTATTGTATAATTATGCAAAACGTCTCTACTTTTTAAATACGATTCTAAATATGACATTAAAAAGAAATATATTAACCATACCAAATCTTATTGAACCGAGAGAATTCAAACCAATGAGAAACATCCCGTAGCGGTCTAAACTGGATCTCGGGTGCTTCTGATATCTATAATTGTGTGTGAATATTTTATGTACTACGTATGTAGATTATTGATTGCGCGCCGAAATCTTTTCAGACTTGAAACGCAGCACTACTAAATTACCGCAGTAATATTACGAGTTAAATTGACTAACGATTTTTTAAGCTGTCTTACAAGGGAAGTGTCCATATTGATAATTGCGAATTGATACAAAATATATATCGTTGGAAAGGTCCTCGCCGAGTAGAGTTCAACTATGCAATATTTCGCTTGAATAGAAACATTTTTCTATTTTCTGTTTTCATTTTTTTTTATTTACTTTTACTTTATATTTTTTTATTTTTAATTTTTTATTTTCTATATGTTTTTTAGATGCTATATTGGATGCTCTATTTTAAATTTAAAAACTTCGACTCTGGATTCATTACTAGCGATAAAAAGACTCGTATAGATAAAGTTTCATGTAAAATATGAAATTATTCGCTTTCACATTGTGGACAAAAAAATTTCAGTGAACTCATTAATAAAATATAAATCGCGGTTTTCGTTTCATTTCCGAAATCAAAATAAGAGCGAAGAGAAGAAAAGGAAAAGCAAAAAGACTAATAGTAATAATAACGAAAAAACAATCGTAACAAAGAGATATCTACTGTAGAAATCACATGAACACATTTGATGCATGTAGCATTTCGATTACAAATCTGGCAAATGGGTTTTTCAAAAGAAAAGTTTATCTTTTAACCCTTTAAACTCCACGTATGACACTAGAAACTCAATTTAAAGTCAAATTCTTATTATCATTAGATAAGCTTTGTTTAACTTCTACTACACATAACGCCCTCTAGACGCGCCATTTAAGCGAAATATTACACAGTTGAACTCTACTCGGCGAGAACCTTTTCAACGATATTTTGTATCAATTCGCAATTATCACTTTGGGCACTTCCCTTATTACATCGATCTTGATAATGTTGAATGACCTATTAAAATCTGTAAATAATTAATTTTTCAATGAAAAAATATTAAATTTTAATAAATATTTATTTAAATAGTACTAACTAAATATTTATTGAAAGTATATATATAAATGTATATTAAATTTATTTCACACAAGATCCATTAATTTGATTTATTATTTTTGACTGAATAAATATTTATTTACTGTCAATTAAATTAATATTATTTAGTTATAGTATGACTATAAAATAAAATATATATTAAGATTTATTAAATTTTTTAGTTAGTGTGTATAATGAAGCAAAAACGAGAATAATAATATTTTTCAGCAAAGCTGTTTTTTATACGCTTCG